ATAGAATAAAAGAAACAATGTTTGATACAATCTGAGTGATGCCTGTGTGCTCCTGTTCCTCCCCATCACTTGCATGTCTAATGCGGATCAGCCCCATCAACTAAAGGGATTCCTTGTTTTTAGATTAAGCATTACATTACCCAGAACCAGTGACTCAGCAATCACAGAGCAGAATTACTGTAGCAAGGAACACGTAGCAGGTTGCAGGCGCAACTATCTGAATGGTATGGCTTTAAAACAAAGAGACAGGCAAACAAAAACAATCATCTCTCTGAGCCCCAGGCAGCATCCACTGGAGATCATTAGCTCTAATGATGGTCAATGAATGGCCATTCTTTCACATTGATCATCTCCATAGAGACCTTGGAAATAAATGGACTATTGCCATGTATAAGTAGCAAACACAAACGGACAAACACAGGCAACATGTATAAATTAAGGGGAGCATGAAAGAGAGGATGCAAACAACTCCTATAGCTTTATGCTATACTTAAAGCGTATACTCGGTTATGGTAGGACAAAATGAGCATCTCTACCACCTCTTCCTTACTTAAGTTCTCACTCCAGATTGATAATATCAACATATAACAGAATAAACAAACACAACAAAAATGAAGACTGAAAGCTGTCAAATCTATAAGTGGGCATGACAAAAAACCGAGACGGGTAGCTGCGTGAGGATGCTGATGAGCGTCTTGAGATGATTCAGGGGAAACAGATTAGGCAGGGGAGCAGTCTGGCAGATCATTAGTCAGGGATGTCAGGACCAGAGATAAATGAAGTGTCAGCAGAGGAGGGAGACAGAAGAAAGGAATGGTTGGAGAAGGTGGGGGGAGACAAGGGGGAGAATCCGGGAGAAAGGGTGAGGGAGGAAAAGGCAGATGCAGAAAGGATGGAATATAGGAAATAATTTAGTGTTCATAAGCCATTAAAAGCTTTAAGTTAATTGTGAAATTGCATAAATTGTGATTACAAATTGCAATGGAGTTGTATAACACTAGCAATAGCATTAGCTTCGTTTCTATTTAAATAAGTGATAAGTGAGTATGTTATCTAATGTTAATACATGCATAAAACAAATCGTACATGCCCTTCTTAATACTCCTTTAATTTATGTAAAAAGTATGCCCATGAGTCATTGCAACTTCAATTCATTGTTCTGACACATTATTCCTTTAAACCATCATTGACTGGTGGTTCTCAACTTCAGCAAACTTCATTAACTTTAACGCCACTCTAGCAAAGTTTTTCAAACAGATGACTCAAAGTCATCTTCATATTCCCAATATGAAAAAGTGACAATATGAATCACCATTCCCTGCACAGCATGCAGAACTCCATATACCCTCTAGCTTGCATTTGAAAGCAGGGCTTGACATTACCTTTTTGAGGCACTTGTCCTCCGGCAGTGTGGTCTCCTAAAAATCATGGTCCATACAACAAAACATACAATGTCATTTATGTTTTGAGGAAAATCTTTTTTTTTTTTGTTTGACTTTACACAAATATGGTTCTAATCAAACTCCGCAGAAGTCCACATGGGGGGGAGACGGTTGGGTTCGATGGATGGGTCAAACATACACAGCACTTCCACCCAGAGGACGGCTCCTCAAGTCCCGTGTGAAATGAAAAGTCAACGTTGACTTATTTTAACAATACGATAAAACCATTTCAAGTTACATAGGTTTAAAACTGTGACTTTAGTTGTTTGGGAACGTAATTTTGAAGAGACAGTTGATAACTTTGGACAATAATTTCAGCATTTCTATCCTATTTAGGGAGATGAGATCAATGCAAAAAGAGAAGGGCTGGTTGATCTATTGAGCTGTGTGCTTTATTTCTGGATATCCTGTTTAGGATGGTGGGTTTATAGAGGCGTACACCACTGAAAATAAGTAATGTGGATGGGTATGGGATGGTGGGGTATGGTTCATAACTATCATGAACCACCAGTACTATCAGCACCACCATCATTCTCCTGGGATCTCATTATTCACTGCTCAAGCTGACTACATCATAACAAAACACCAAGTGGTCACACAGTCGGCCATTTCTGTCAGTGAGTGTACATGTGTGCATGTGTGAATTGCCTATTATATGAAAAGTAAGAAAAATCACTGGAAGGATCTAAAAAGACCATATAAACTGATAAAAGAGACATTGAGAGAATAACAAAGGAGACGTACAATAAAGAATAGATATGACGGGAGACTTCCAGATTGTAAGGTTTTCACAGAGAGTAAGGCAAGAATCGAGCCGGTGAAGCAACAGTTTTGGGTTGGTGTTGGCTATAGGGTCCTGACTGCTGATTGATCTCCAGGTGATAGCCGATGTCGGGGCCCTCGGCCAGACTGTCACGCTCTCTCTTTCTTCTCCACAGCTTTTAAGGTCTCGGTTGTGCCAAATAATCTCTTACCTTCTCTCTCCATTGATTCAACTTCTCTCTCTCTCTCTCTCTCTCTCTCTCTCTCTCTCTCTCTCTCTCTTCTCTCACTGTCCTCTCCATCGTCGTTCTTTCCCTCCACCCTTTTCACCCCAGTTGGTTTCTCCACTGCTCTGATCTACCCTTCAACTTTGCCTTTTCGTTCCCTCACTGCTGGGAAACAACTTACCTCTGCTTAGAGCCGTACGTTTCACACCACCGATTCAGTATGCAAGAGAGCATATTTCTCATGTGAAGGGATAGTCTGTGTTTGTGTCTGACCATGTGTGTGTGTATTTGAATTTCAATGTGCTTGTGTGTCAGTGTCTGTGCCCTGAAAGCCTAGGAATTCAGCACATTAGTTTTCTTCAGACACAGCCTAAGGATATTGTGGTGACCTTGGTCTTTAGTGTGTGTGTGTGTGTGTGTGTGTGTGTGTGTGTGTGTGTGTGTGTGTGTGTGTGTGTGTGTGTGTGTGTGTGTGTGTGTGTGTGTGTGTGTGTGTGTGTGTGCGCTCAATTTCATTTTCCTGTGTGTGGGTGTGCACACGTTCTCTCCGGTTTGTGTTTGTGCTCATGTGCGTATGTACATGCATATAGGCACCCTTGAGGGACACCCTTAATGAGAGGCTCATTTACAGAGCTCTGCCTCTAATGATCTATTAAAGTACACTTAGCCAGTAATTATATGGCCAGTCCCAAAAGGCTTATGAGGCCCCACAAGGGATAGCTAAAGATACAAAAAGAGCAGATTAAAACGTGTTTTATGTGATGCATGGGAATCAGTAATAGTGCGTTCTTATCCTTTGAGTTCATGAACAAAAATATATGAAAAGAAATAAGGATATTTTTTAATTAGAATTTATTTCCTAATGTGATGGCATTGGTGGTTGAAATTAAGACAGGGATCAAGTGTTCTTACATGGTGTTCAGATGTGCTTTACAGTTATTTTAAATCTCTTCAAATCATGATGAATTATGTATCAGAAGTTTTTGCTTTGCTCTCTGTTTGCAATCTCAAACATTTTTGTCAACTGTCTTTTTGTTTCCATTTGTTTTGTGTTTTTTTTATAATTGGGTGCACACGTGAGAGCCCAGCTGCAGGCTCAGGCACAAACGCAGCACGGGTGCAGCGCAGTCCAATATGAAAGCAGTGCTGGAGCGGGATGAATCACAACCCAGTCAGACTGTATTTTGACAGGTGAATGTACTGGCCTAGTCAGGCAAAAAGCAGCAGGAAAATTAATTAGTGTGGGTAGGATTGTAATTGTAAACTGCAGCAGTTGAACATGGTGATTTTACACGTCAAAGTGGAATCCGCTTGAACCCTGCACGAAGTGAAAGAGGCGGGATCAATTTGTGACTGGAGGCAACTGTGGCTCACTGTTTCCTAGCAAAAAATGAAAAGGCAGTGACTGCACCTTTATTAGGAGGGAAACATCAGCAACAGGTGGAGTTGGTGCGACTAATCAAAAGTCCACCTCCTCTCATCCACTTTAAAGGCAGTACATCGATTTCAAATGGGCCAGGAGAAGAATCAAAAACAGTCTGGAAGATACCAAAGCACAAATACATATTGTTTGTGTTTTTTAAAACTGCACACCATTTGTGGCTAGACCTCGCAAATCAGTCCTGCTGCCAAGGACTCTTTCACTTGTCCATCCAACCTGTTGACCATTGTAACTAATATTTATGCACGGATCTTCTCTCCTCTCTTCTGCCTACTCGTCTTAAAACTCCCCAGTGTCACCTGCCGCCTCTTAACTCCCACACCACACCTTTTTTATTTTCTACCTCACCATCGCCTCCAACCCCTTCTATCTTCAGAGTTCCTGGCCCAGGTGACAGACAGGTAGACTGGGCTTGGTCTGGCTGTCATAAGCTAGATGGCACAACAGGCTGCCAAGCGAAAGCTACCACCTGAGGGGGTACTAGGTTCTGACACCTCTATTAACCTTCAGGAAACGTCCATCCCCACTCGCACCACCCCCTCCTCTTCTTCATCTCTATCTCCGACCTGTCTGCTGTTCCCCAGGCAGTGAAAAAGCAGCTTGTTCCCTAGAGCAAAAAGCCAAATAACAGATACCTGTATTTTCCTCTCATCCTAGCCTGGAGCATTTCAATATGCCATGGATCTCTATCTCACTTTCTCAATTATCTATCGGTCTCAGAGTCCTTGTCCCCGCCCCTTCCGGTCTCCTGTCTGTCTCAGGTTCTTTCTGTCTGTCTCTCTCTAATTCTATCTAGCATTGCAATTCAGTATGTTAGGAATAGCATAGGGCCAGTGCAAAATGCATGGTTTTGTGCAGTGATGCATAGCAAAATGGTAACCGCTTTCTCACGTCAATCAGCCGGAATAATGGGAGTTGATGAAAGCTAAGTGCGGCGGATTAAATCGGATGTAAACATATTTGATTAACAGATGCCCTTTTTACCTTGACAATGATTCGATGAATCATTTGGTGTTATTTAAAGTGGATTATGGCAGATCATTGCAGAACGTGACAGTTTCTCATCAGTTCTGCATTCAACCAATAATCTCTGTCTGTCTCTCTCCCTCTTCTCATTTTGCCCTGTAGGAATTCTCTTTACTCCGACTGGACGACGTGGTGGACCACCGAGTCAACATAGTCGGTTTTTCAGTCTTCAACAAAACTCATCCCTTCTTCCAGGATTTTGTGCTAAGCCTCAACCGCTCCTGGCAAGAGAACTGTGACCATGCACCCTTCGCTGGCACCCCAGTTAGTACTCACACACATGATATCACACACACACCGAAAAGACCAATGTCACCCATGCGAATAATGGATGATGAACCCTTTTTATTTCTTTCCCTTACCAAGTCCAAACAGCGTTCTCTAAAGCGTTATTCTTCCAGTGTACTGCTGTATCTCAAACTCCTCCACTAAAATACTGAAGTCACTTAGATACAAAAGTGCCTCTGAAATATACAGGGGTGACATTTATCCAGTTAACTGTTGTAATTGCAGGTATTGCTGAAGACAGTTGTTGTTTCCCAGATAGCTCATTAGCAGCGTTTGCCACCTGGCTTATTGCATTTATAATGGCATCCTCCTTGTTAAACTTGCTTCAGAGGAAATGCAATGCAAAAGGGCAGCTTACCCTCTACTGCACCCCATCACCCCTTAAATCATCCACTGTTTACATCTGAACATTATCTGTAGCTCAACATTTAACACACCATCCCTGCATATTTGAATGAGGGACTTCAAAAACAGCCTAAAATAACCTAGACACTTTTTACATATGAAGACTCTTGCAGGTTTGTATAAATAAAGAAGATAATAGATCATTTGTCTCATGCAGAACAGTTGTTTACATTTGAGCCGACCACACTTGACAGAAGAAACGGCACTCGTGCGTGAACAGTTTGTATCTTCAGCATAACGGTCTCATACTTATTTTATGAGATAGGCTTATCAGAGTTCTCTAGGACCAGTTCAGCAAATACATGTCGTAAATTACCTGCATAAATATGATGAGAGCCACCTACTCGTGAATGAGCTCTTGCTTATGAGGCCAAACTTTATGAGTATTATCTCACTCCACAACAAAGCTAAACTCTCTCACCCATTAGTCCCCAGGTGTCACTCGTAAAAATGGCATCTGAGAGTAACAAGAAGAACTTCGCCAGTTATTGGATTTCTGCTCACAGTGTCCAGTAAAGAAAATCTCACTGTATTAGTCCTTACATGCACACATACACATTATATATGAATCAATATTTAACCATCAACACCATCAATATTTAACTGGTGTTTTCAAACATGTATAAGCTTACAGTATGAATATAAATCTTTTTGTCTTATAATAAATAAATAATTATGTATTTATGACAATGGGGAAAACTAATGATTAGTGAATAAAACAGTCTTCAAAGTAATTCAATTTGAAAATGTATTGTATCATTTTAAAAAACAAAAACATTAGAGATAGTTAGAAATGACTGCCAACAAAAACATCTAAGTGCAAAAAACGTAATGGCCGTCATCAGGAATTATAAATTCAGAAAGGGAATTAATGAATGAATTCCTCTGCTGTTAAAAGAAAGGGAACCCATCACCCCCTTCTGCTTCACACAAGCTGGGCGGTGAAACAGGTCAAGAATAGTTTAAATACCATGAAAAAATGTTGTGTTTTGCACACAGCAGGTTGCTCAAATACTTCTGAGCCTGCGGCAATTAGGACTTTTGACTAATTAGCTAATAACTAGAGAGAATAAAGGCTGATGAAGGCAGAGCAAGAAAGTGATTAACTCATTTAGACATGCGCATAGATAATATGCTGTCTTTTCATTAACAGTAATTAGGTCTGGAAGGAAATGTAAGTGGGGCTCATACATACAAGAAATGCACAAGTGACCTCTTTACGTGTGTAGAGCTGAGACATTTAATGCATTCAAAGATAAAGACATGCACCATGCTAACTGATCATAAAAGTTCATCAGAGAAAATGCAACCATGTGGCATTTAATTAGTAGGGTAGGTTCGTAAGGAAAAAGGTTTTACGGGAGACGAATAACTAGAACAAATTGTGCTGCCTGGAAATATTTTGCAGTTGTGTGAAGATATTTATATTCTCAAATTAGCTTCGTGGAAAGTAACCACATAGACGCACAGCTTTTAATGAGACTGAAACATCAGTTACACAAGATATGTCTGTATTTGTTTAGAGAGCATCAAATAAAACCAAAGTTTGAAAGATACAATATAATCGTTTGTGAAAACAGGCCTGAAATAGTGAAAGCAGCTCATGTTGGCACACAAATGAAGTACACCTGTGACAGAGGAGTGGCTTTGTGGAGTGAAGACTACAGATCCCTGACAGTATGTTTATGAAAAACTGCAAAAAATTTTAACACCTGGGAGGTAAACTTTAAGACTACAAACCTTCTCCTGAACATTCATAGATTTAGACTGAAAGGGACACAGTAGCTTGTCCCTTTCAGTCTGGAGTTGTCGTTTGCTAATGTGCAACGGCTTCAGAAGCATGCAAAGCTTTGTGATGTGTTTTTGTTATCAGGCTCTTTTCAGTACAATTTTGCTTTCCACTGTGATTCTACATATAATCAGCTGAGACACAAAAAAAAACACTGATTTGAACAACCTGGCCCATATAAGCTAATTTACTCATATTGCATTTGTAATATCATACAAACGCAAGTTATGAAAGAGTCGGACCTATTGTACGAATCATGTAATATTAACTTTCTGATCCACCTACTCATACAGAGAACGATAGTGAGCGAAGAAAGACAGACTTCCAGAGTGAAACGAGCATTATTTTGCTGAGCCTTGTAGATATCATGAGATACGAGTGGGATATAAGAAACACTGTAAAACTGTCATTCTCTTTTTAATGCTGATTTAATGACCACCAAGACAGTATTGTCATACGGCAAACCTAAAATGCATCGCCTCCTGGTTGTAATGTCTTCACAGGCTGTTTGTGTACACTGTATTGCTCTTAATGTGCAATCCACCAATTATGTTAGACAATTCAAGGTTGTAATACATCACAGCTTTGCAGTTTAATGGCCAATTGTGGTTCTCTTTGGTCTCCAAATTTTGCTATGCATTACGATCCCTCCCTGCATCAATATCCACCAAACATCAGGGCGATTTAATTTCTCTTTCCAATTCTCAGACTCTCCCCTATAGCTTCTAATACAGTACAATAATCATGTATTGTAATCAAATGTACATCGCAGGACGGTAGTGGCGAGTAGGCTGTTTGTACAGGGGTGATGAGAGGAGAAGCTGCCTCTCCCAGTGTGCCCTCGCTGAGAGAGGCAGGCAGTAATTGGAATGGTCAGGGTGTGCCAGCTTCATTGGGGATAAGAGTGGGAAGGACAGCGTCTCTCCGAGAGACGGAGACGGAGAACGAGAGGGAGAGGTGGTTTTCAACGCTGTCAGCAGATCAGAGTCTTTCTAATGATCTAATGGAATAATCTCACTGCCACTTCAGGGATAGGTTAACCCCTCACTGACCGCTAACCACTGACATGTTACACCTGCAGTGTGTGTGGTTTGAGCTCTCGCAGCTTTGTGTGTGCATCAGTGTGTGAATGTATAATGTATTCACCTTCTTGCCTCCCTCTCCCTCTGCAGCTCTCCTCAGCGCTGCTCTTTGATGCGGTATACGCGGTGGTGGCGGCGGTCCAGGAGTTGAACCGTAGCCAGAATGTTGGCGCCACTCAGCTCTCCTGCAAGTCATCCAAGATCTGGGAGCATGGCACCAGCCTCATGAATTACCTGAGGATGGTAAGATTGCCTCTGCTGGACATCAGGAAAACAGGCTTGACCCCTCCTCGTCTTAAAGGAATAGTTTGACATTTAACACAATAATTGAGCCAGATTACATTTGTAAAAATGTTCAGTCAGATTATAATTACATTGTCAAGGATTATTTGATGACATTTTTGATTACGTCTTTAAAATATACGTTTATGCCAGCATGTTTTTATGGGGTAATTTGATTTGACCAATTCTAAATGCTGAATATGTTCCACCGTATATATCAAAGTGCGTTGCTCCTCTCAGGTTGCCAGTTTCATGAACTAATGTATGTGTTTGTGTTTTTTTATGATGATTTATGGATCCTATTCGTTTTGTATTTACATCCAAAATTAAAATTGAACATATTAAGAACGTGTTTTTTGATGTTTAAAGAGAAAAAGATTATGCGTGGGACTCCATTTTTTGTGGCTGCATCTATTTTTTTGTATAAGGTGCAATATGTTTGATTTTGAAGTAACCAAAAAGTATTCAGATTATATAAAATATGTTTGTAATCCAATGGATTACATTACTAATTACAAAAATTGCCATTTAATTTGTATTAAGTAACACTGGAGCCAGGCTGGCTGTCTCCCTGTCTTCAGTCTTTATGCTATATATGCTTATATTTAATGCATAAAAATGACTGAAACAATTTTCCTAAATTTAGGATTTCACATGTTTGTGTGAGTGTTTTTTATTCTGTTTTATGAAATAGCATTTGACAATATCAGAGAACCGACCTTGTTGAGATCTTCTTTATTGCTTCAATTATGATGCATATTCCTTCATTATTTTAAAGCCAATATATTTTCACTGACTGCTGATAATACCGTGTTGTCTGTGTTTGATCTTATTTAGAGATATGCTCCCTATCTACTAGGTCAATTTATCTCATCGCTACAGTATACTGACAGACAATAGAGAAGGAGAGAAAAGGATGAGCTGTCAGTGAATACAATGTGTTATCCTATTATGGAGAAATGACTGTAAGTGATTGGGCTATCAAAATACTTAAATGTGGCATGTATTTGATGTCAGACTGTTTGTCTTTTCTCCCAGAGAAAGAAGACGTGACTAATGGCTCATCTGTTTTGCCGTAAATTGAAGATATTGCAGCTTCGTCTTCATATCATTATCTAAACTTGACATATTTCAAAAAGCTGAAACTGAGCCAGTAGTGCTGATGTAGCCTCCAGTCATATCCATAATAGTTGCTGCTGGGAGGGAAGAAGGCAGGATCTATTTTTAACGCGTTGCTGTCTCTGTGTTGGATAGGTAGAGTTGGAAGGTCTCACGGGCCACATTGAATTCAACAGCAAAGGTCAGCGCTCTAACTACGCCCTGAGGATCATGCAGAACAGCAAGGATGGCCTAAGGCAGGTAATGTAACTCCCAAAGCACAGCATAAAGTCCATGTGATTGTTTCAAAAATAATTATATGTAACTTGTTTGGTATTTCAGAAGTGATCTCGAGAAACAGATTCTGAATTGACATGTTGAAAATGTATTGATTTTGCCATCAGAAGTGTTCCGGTATTCGTTAGTAGCCTTGGTAGTATTGACCAATCATGTTCAAGCAGTCTTGAATGAATGAATGTAAAGGATCTGTGTGGAATGCTTTGGTCGGAATGCAATCTGGAAACCCACCGGCAGTCTTCTGACGATGAATTAGCTTTTTTGATGGTTTAAGATTAGCTTGTAAACTGACTTGTGAAACAATCAGGTCGTACACGTCATCTCTCAACTCCAAATCCAGTCTCCCATCTAAAGTTACTTATCGGACTGTAAACAATGCGCAGCAGACAGAAAAGGAAGCCCAGGCCCGGATGTCCGTTGGCTACACCAGAGCCCAAGAAATATAACCTTCTCGCCACCGGAGGCTTATCCGTCGTCTGACCGATAGCCGATGGGTTCTGAGATTGTTTCAGAAGTGACACACAACGATTCCTCCCTTTCTCTTTAGATAGACACTATCCATCATATAGCTGTTACTGCTCAACACAAAGCTCACTGCGCAGTCCTGCTCTCAGTAGAGCACTACTTCTGGCGTTACAGTTGTCTTTATGGCAGTGAGGTAACTCTGGATCGTACAGCAAGGAAACGTGATAAAACTTGCTCAACTGACATCTTCCCAATTATCCTGTTAGAAGTGTCAAAGTGCCAGAGGACAATATTAGGGATGCCTCGTTGAAGGTGCTCAGAAGCCTATTTTACGGAAAAAAATAATTTAGGTTAAAACAGAATTCCGTCGGTGTTGACTTTGCTGCTGCTGCTATTACTGCTTCTACAGATATGTCTCTGCATAAACATTAGATACGTATTTGAGGTTGTGATTCTTTACAATAAAATAACAATTAGTACTAATTGAGTGTAGCATCACGCAATTACGATACCAGCAGGGATGTGTGGGTGGTGTTGATCAATACCAATCACTCCAGTATTGTCTCAGTGGATGCTGGAATTTCAAGCTCCCTACACAAGCGGTCTTGTTGTGCTCTTTCGTTTAATAAAAACGCTCTCCATGCACCACAGGGCATTTCAGTCTATCCTCTGAACCACCTCACACAATCTCTGGAACTGGTCTCCCCTGACTTCTCTTTGCCTCAGTTTCACACCAGGGAACACACTTTCAAATACAGAACACTTTCTTCTAAATTGAACACATTTACCAAGATTACAAGGACTGAAAGTAGTCAATAATGAAATGTAAGTGACGACAGGCTTTGGGCAGCTTAGAGAACTGTCTGTTAATGGCGGAATTGCAGAACTACTGGTGCTCTATGAACTGTATAAATTGCTCAGGAGTTGGTTCGATTATAACATGGGATTCCAATGTTTGATGTCAAGGTTCCACAAACCAAAAATACCGTAAATCTCTGTCTGAAGACAACCTGATTGAAAATCGTTTTTTTTGGGGAATGACAGATGTTAAAAAACATCAGCAATATAAGAACACATTTCCTCTCATTGTTGTTTATATCCAAAATGTATTCTTACTTTTGTTAGTGCCCAGTGATTTATGGGATTCACCAATGTTTTATTTTTGCTTTTCTCTTCGGTGAGAATCTTTTTTTACGAGTGTGTAAGATATGTTTTAAATGTGGGTATCAGATAATCATTATTAAGTGTAATTATAATGATTGGATTATTACATTTGTGGGCTCAAGAAATATTATTGGTCCATTGATCCCAATTAAGACTTGATAAACCCTCGGATGACATTGCATACGTTCAGATTCTGAATGGCTTACATTCTACTTTTTGATTTTCTTCTAACTGACTCTGGAAAATCACACACTTACTTTGTTTAAGATTATTTAACAGTATCATAATTTCAATACTGTTGAGGTCCTTCTTCTTACAGACACGGCACAACACCTGCCCTTATGTAGTGTTTAGGTGTTATTACTTATAATGATGATAAACAATCTGCACTACAATAACGATCTCTAATTTGTGAAAATTTGGATTCACTTTTCAGCACACCTGAGCTGACTTCTATTATTTTTTTTCTCCTAACAGAAAATAAAGAGGAAATATAAAATACATTTAAGAGTGATGAGACCTGTTTCCTACATGCTTTATTTTGTAATTGGTAACCTGTAAAGGTCATCCAGGCTCATCCAGCTTAATGAAAAACCACCACTCTCTCTTTGCAAACAGCAAGTGATGATCAATAACCTGATCTCTCTTTAGTAACTGTAATCTTCATATTAATATCAGCGCACATTTATCTGCTACATGTAAAACAACAGTAAAGACAGCGGTGGGCTCCGTGGTGTATTTTTCTCATGCATTTCATGAACAGTGGTTGTCAAAGTGAAGGGAGACACATAACACAAGCTCTCTGCGTCTGGGGTTTTGTGGCCAGTAAATGCTTGTCTACAAACACACAAAGACACACTATCGTAGAGCAACATCTGCTCCTGAATACGGAAGTTCTTCCTCGTTCTCCTCAGCCCCTCTCATTGTCTCTGCCTCTCCCTCACTCCCATTCAGTCCATACAATGAAAGGATTACACCTGACTATCTGCTTGCATCTTTTCTTGCCATGTGTGTCTTATTATGAGTGAACGGTGGAAACTATTTTGAGTGTCGTCATTGTTATACACAGTAGCTGACATGGTGCGCTAGCTTCAAACCCCGTTTTCTATAAATGCCAGGGCTTTTGTATTTCACATTTCATCTTAAATGATGTAAAGCGATAACTGTAATCCCTCAAGTTCATGCTTTTTCACAGTGCTGTACCAAATTATGCATAGGATTTCCCCGAGAAATGCCTGTCTCACCCTGACAGCTGTGTTCTCTCTGTTGCCATGTTGTGGTTTTCTGTCAATGCTGCATTGTGTATGATCTAAGTCAACTCATCCATAAGCCAACACACATTCACCACTCTGCTGCAGCAGATAGCCATCTTTGTGCTTTCTTATCAGCATTTAAACACTTGTTGGTATACTGTTATGAGATACAGATAAGACACAGACAGTTTGACAGCGCAGAGAGGAATAACTGAGTTGCACAGCTCTGTTTTAAAACATTTGACCCTTTCAGTTGGGATGATCTCCATGACAGAGGGGATTGGGTTCCTATCTTACCTTAGCAACACTGTAAAGGAGTCAGACAGCAGCCGATCTTCCTTTATTAACCTTGTCTGTGTCTCCCCATGTCCACTCTTTATGCTGGCACTGGGCCAGTCAAGCAGGAGGATAATGCTATCAGGCCTAATGTGATGATTTCAACCAGAAGTATTATAAAGCCCTGCCAGTTATTTTAATGGCGAGAGGCAAGGTGTTAGGCAGGGGACAGGGTGGGGGGGGGGTGTTGTTTGTTTTGGTAACTAACACCTCCCACATAGTGTTGGGTTGGGGCTGCTTCAGCCAGGCAGATACTAGAGGTGCCAAGGCCTTGGCAGAGATAAGGAAGGTATCTCAGTGCCCACACACACACACACACATCTGTGTGTTGATCTATGCTTTAGAACGTAACTACAGTGAAACAATCAGAAAATAATGTTTTATTCTTCCGATTCAAGGCTTTGTTCTCAATGACACTGGCACCTCTCTTCATCCACTCTCTGGCTCTCTCGACCACCGCTCACTCCCCCTCTCTCTCTCTTTCGCGCTCGCTCGTTGAGCTGGAGAGGAGGGGTGGATTTTGAATGCTGTGTTTACAAACAGGAACCGACAGTGTGGCTACATAATATACCTTTAAGCAGAATATTTACCAATCAACACATGACAAGTTGTTATTTCACATATTTTGATGTCTAGCCAGTAATCACCTTTAATGAACTTCTATCCAACCCTTTCTGGAGATAGTGAGCATTAAGGCATATTGTATAGAGCAGCCAACCTCCATTTCTCTACCCTTCTTCCTATAGCACCCACCATTCTTTCACCCCAATCCCTGTGGAGGCGCTAGCGATTGCCTCACATGTGTGACCATTTGCTCCTCGGGCATCCAACACTCTACAGCTAATGACTGTCAAATATTGAATCTCTCTGGCAGGCCTTTTTAGAAATAATAACAGTTTCCTTCTGCTCAGTCTGATGCGTTTTATGGCTTTCTATCCACCAGTATCTGTCCGTCTGTCTCTCTATTTGTCTGCCTGTCAGTCTATTTAGTCACCATCACTAGGTTGTTTTCTCCATTACTACATAATGAATAATGAGCACAAGTCATTGGATGTGCTTCATAGGATTTGGAATTAGGAATTCATGACGTATTTTTAAAACTAATCTTCACATCAGTAGCCATGATTAACTGTGAGTCTTCACTGGTTCTGTTCATGCTAACCAGCTCTGCAGCAATGATTTAATAAAATGAAACAAAGGTTCAGGTTCTAGACAACTTTAGGATTGACGTGGTGTGAAATTTTATTTTTGACTCAGGAAGGCGTTAAACTCGTCAAAGCCAAAATGATTATTGTAATATTGCCATTGTGGTTGCCCAAATGTATTATTAATGCATTGAGAAGTTTAAATCACAAAACTAGAAACTGTTCTTTTTACTTCTTTTGTTTGAATTATTCATTATTGAATTGTGCATTTTGACCAAGTGTGGTCTTTTGCAAAATTCACAACAGTGAGAGATATGCTTTAATATCATCAAAAAATTACAATTACCCCTCTAGAGCACCATACCTATTCAACCATAATATAAAAGTAATCGCTTTAAGCTTGAAAACAACCATTTCAGATGGCAGTTCGTTTAGCATTCCTATTTCCAGAATTTGATGTGGCAGCATTACATAATAATCTTTATTTTTTTCAGTTTTGGCAAGCAAAGTACATTTCCCAGCTGCTCTTGTGCTGGCAGCCATGTAGGCCAACGATGATGGTGTAAGAAGTTGGCATGACATTTGTCCGTGCTCTGGTCGA